GGGACAGAGAAGACACAAAGAGACAGAGCAGGACAGGCAGAAGGACAGCAAGGCAGACAGGTAAATGATTGTGAGTGGTGGTAATAGCTAAGAGAGAGTGCAGTTATTACAAAATAAACAAAACCCAGCCATGTTGCTACCTAAACCTGGGGTAGTGGGGAGGGGGACCAAGAATGGCATCTAGGGCAGAGGTTCTTACCTCAAAGTTCCCAGGGATCATTGAAAAAAATTCTAGGCCCAGGCCCAGATTATAGTCCAGATCAAGGAACCTGGGTTTCCAGGAATGGACAGTCCAGGCCTCAGCTTGTTTGGTTCACTTCGTTTTAAGTTCCTCAAGGATGAGAACCACTGGTCTAACTTTCATCTACTTCAGTTAAAGTTGATGAAACAGATAGGAATTTCAGGATGTGCAACTCAAATTGACAGTCTGAGAATGAGGCCAACCAGAGGGACACAGGCAGAAAGGTAGTGAAGATACAAACATGGTCTGGTACCAAGGGACCTGATGGAGCAGGAAAGCCATGACAGAGTGGACCCTACATGTAAGCAAAAGGTGTTTGGATTCAGGCCAACTCTATTCACACCGAACTGGTGGAGAACCACATCCAGATACAGAGAGGATAGCGACATGATTTTAAAAGTACGGATCTACCACTTGTTAGCGAGGCAAGTTACTCAACCTCTGTGAGCCTCAGTGTTCTCATCTGTAAAATGAGAATGTTAAGCATATCTCTCTTTCAGGAATATACAGAACTAGGAATAGGAGAAAGATGATGAGCTGACAGTCCTCGACGAGATGCCAATTCCAAAACAGGTTGAAAACTGAAGCAAAAAGTACCCATTCCTGAGAACGAGGAGATGGCAAGAGAAGAGTAGATCGGTGCCAGGTGGTAGAAGAAAGAGCTCGCTCATTTTTTTTATAGTAATGATGGGGAAAGAGAAGCACGGCATTTTTGGAAAGCGATGTGGAAAAATATATCACAAGCCAGAAAGATGTTTATACTATTTTATCCAGTAATCCCACTCTTGGAATTTATCCTAGAGAAATAAATCAACAGAAGAAAAAGAAGCTGCAGAGTATAAAGATCTATAATATATAAGAATGGAAATAACCTACACTGCCAAATATAGGTCAATGGCTAAATAAATTGTTATACAACTACTCAATAGAATACTAACTTTGGGATTCAAGAACCTTGTTTTATTCATCTTTTAATTTTTAAAAGTTTATTCTTATTTATATAAGGAACACTTAAAAACATTTAAAAATACAGAAAAAGCTAAAGTCCCCCTTAACCACTCTTAGTTTTCTGCCTAAAGGTGGCCACTGTTAACAGTTTGGCGTGGACTCTCCCAGACATTTTGCAATATATTCACACACACACACACACACACATATATGCATATACACATGTATACTTACACATACACATTTTAGAGCTATCTATTTTATTTAGGGGGTGTGTTTTAAAAATGCTATCTCCTTGTACTTGCTTTTCTGCAACTTATTAACAAAGTGTTTGTTTGCTTGTTTACTTAGCAACAAGCTTGGAAGCATTCCGTTCAGTACTGACAGATAGAACACATTCTTTTTGAGTGAGTATATCACCGTTTATTTAACTATTCCCAGTACTGCGAGCAGTGACGTGATCTTCAGTTTTCACGGTTATAAATGGTACAGTGAACATTCTTGTTTCCGTCTCCTGAAGCACACAGAAAGTATTTTTTTTTTTGAGGGCAGATATGGAAGAGTGAAATGGTTGGGTGTAGAAGGTCTGCGAACTTTAAATATAAATAGTCAAATGGCTGACGGAGCTTACACTTGGCCAGCAGGAGAGGGGAGTACCTATTGCCCTAAAGTGGTTATTGTCAAACTTCTTATTGTTGCCAATCTTCCAGGTAAAAATAGTAACAACCACTTTAATTTGCATTCCCTCACGTTTTGATAAGCCTCTCTTTTGGCTTGTTATGTTTCTTTCTTGGTGTGTTACCTGTTTATCACCTTTGCCAATTTTTCTAAATTGTCGTTATTTTTGATATCCCTGACACGTAGCATAGTCATTTGAAGATAAATGCTCAACTGTTCAGTGAATTCAATTATATTATTAAAAGTAATTAAAGCCTCCATAGAAATACATCAAGTATGTATGGCACAGTGTTTGATCAAAAGGAACAATGTAAATTATGTGCAACAGGAAATGATATCCATGCACTGGAACATAGGCTGGAAGGGAACAACTAAAATAATAACAACAATAAAGCTAGAAACAGTAATTAGCACTTATATAGCGCTTAACAGATGCTAAGCATTGATCAAAATGTTTTATGTGTATTAATGCCTTTATTTCTTACAACAGTCCCTATTAGATTTCTTTGAACCTGCTAAATCCCAATTTGTACAAGTGGCAAAGCCAAAATTTGATAAGCCCGGGCAGTCTGATTCCAGAGGCTGCACTCTTGACTACTACATTATACTAATATAGCTTTAAAATAAATCCCTTTATAATTGTGATGCTATTATTTCTCAACAGGAAATACCAGTAGAGAGAGGTCAGGGCCTTTTCAGTCATGGGTCTTCACAGGGCATTTGCATCTTAGCAGAGTCATGGCCCTCTATTTTGCAAATTCATAAATTCTATCAAGACAGTACAGCATATCCATGTGGCCGGGTCCCAGGGAACTGAGCCATGTTAACCAAACTCACAAGAGACTGACAAATTTATAAATCAGAACAATGTCAATTTTGTTCATTTATACTGAGAGCTTTTGTTGCCAAGAGAAATACAATATTCATGGCAGTCCAAACATGTTCCTTCAGCTGGGAAAATCTAAACTGAAAACCAAATTAAAGAGTAAAAATCATCAGGGAGAGCAGCGTCAAAGCAATGGGAACCTACTGAGCTTGGGAAATAGTATGATCACAGAGTAGTTAGAATGAACCCCAGTCTAAAAACACAGGTGTACGAGAAAACTCATTCTTTTTTTAATTTAATTTCTGTTCTCAATCTCCCTCTCACCAACCCACTAGGAAACCTAACTTCAGTCATTTTCTTATTTTCCTCTCGTCCCAGTGGTTTCTGAAATCCTATGCAAAGCAATGCATGTTAGAATGGGTGGGGAGGGTCACACTTCACACCACATGGTCATTGATCCTCCGTCATCAGGCTGCCTAAGTTGCCAGTGAGATATCCTCCGTCCCTTCTAGCAAGCTGCCTGCTGACAATTCTGTGCTTCCCATGAGGTACAGGAGCTTTCACATACCTTTACCCTCACTTGGGGCCAAACCTGCCTTTCATTCTATCAGCCTGTTGCCCATGCCATTCCTGGGATGTAGGGAATATGTCCTCTTGGTCAGGGACACACTGGCCTTCTTACTCTCCCTCCCTCACCCTCACTTCTAACACCAGGAGAACTGCATTTCCAGCTGGGGGAGTCCCACTTGCTTGGTTCTGGCCAATTTCTGTGCTTTGAATCCACTCCTCTCTGTAGGACTTAGGCTTGTGTACCTAAATCCAGGATGATTATTAGGATCTTTTTGTTCTGGCAGCTGTCTCCCCTGACATAATGAGCACAGAAACAACTGTTAGCTTGGGTTTGGTGTGGAAAGCTGGAAATACTAAAAAGGTAAGTATAGATCTATTCAAGTATAGGTAGGTAGACAGATTGGAATAATATCTCAAAAATATGCTGCCACATAATCTCCTTTAGGGGTGAGAACATCCAGGGCTCTCTCTCCCCTGGATAATGTTGGCATTCATTAGGGTCTACAGTAGCCAACTGTCCTTTTTCTGAGTTCTGTAACAGCTGTACAAAACCTCTGCCTTCCACTGTTAGCCCTGACAGACATGCTACATTCACTTTCCATCATATTTTCCTTCTGTTGCTGTCCTGCAGATGTCCCATGGACAGCTGGAGCCATCTGCCTACATAACAGTTGGCAACACATAGTGAGGTGTCATTTACTCCCAAAGACTCAGTAAAAGGGCAGCTGGAAGAGCACTATTGGAGTCTTGCTGCCCTGAAGACAGGGACTGCTTCATGACACGGGACCTTGTGTTTGATTTAATGCTCTGCTGTCACCATTTTTAAGTTATTAATTATTTTTAAAGAAAGAGATCCACAGTTTGCCTTGGGCCCCACAGTTATGTAGGTGGTTCTCCCAAAGGGTCATCATCTCAAAGGGGCTTTGCAGGGTCTGCATTTGGAGACCTGTTTCCAGGGGTTCTGAGAGTGAGAAACTGTGAAAAGAACTAACTTTCAATTGCACTTAAGGATTCAGTTAATGCAGGGGTCCTCAAACTTTTTAAACGGGTGGGGGGGGCAGTTCACTGTCCCTCAGACCGTTGGAGGGCCGGACTATAGTTTAAAAAAAAAACTAGAACAAATTCCTATGCACACTGCACATATCTTATTTTGAAGTAAAAAAACAAAATGGGAACAAATACAATATTTGTATTTGCATGTGGCCCGCGGGCAGTAGTTTGAGGAACCCTGAGTTAATGGATAACTTTGGTAGGTTTGGCTAAGAGGTACCTTTTACGGTCATTTTTTTCAGGTTCAAAACTCTTGGGCTTTTAGAGTGATTTTGGGAATTCTAACAGTCCTATTTGTGAGCTGAATGTGCACACTCTCTTCTTCATTTACAGCTGTACCCATAGTTTCATTTATGGCTATAGCCTCACATATATAAACTAAATAGAATAATAGAATGTTTGAAAACTGTATATTGGAATTAATTCAAACAGCTGTTTTCAAAATGACCAGTAGTTTAATTGGATGGTGTCTTTCTGCAACAAAAATGCCTGTTAATGCCTAACCAGACCAACACCATGAGCAGTCCTAAGCTCATTAAGTTGCTGACTCATGCTGACTCATGCTCACTAGGCATTCTTTGACCATCAGCTTACCATTAGCTGTGGCACTGGCCTGAGAAACAAGCATGACATCTACACTTCAGGTTCCCTGATAAGGTTCAGAGAGAGAGAGTGCTGAGAATTACTTTTATCAGTCAATCCTGCTCCATTCCTTCCTGGCAGAGTTCATGAAACACTCAAGGAGTTGTAGGTAAATGGTAATTTCATGTCACCAAAAGCTACAGGTTTTTTTTAACATTTGCATTATTTCCTGTAAAGTGAAAAACAACTTGGGCATGGAGACTCCAAATCAATGTATTATCCCACTGGCTTGGGAGAACCACACCCTTCAAACTAATCTCTGTATTTCTGGGAATCAACAGATGATCCTGTCTTCAAACAAGGATCTGTGCGACCTTCCAAAGAACTCGGAATGTCTTTCATCACAGAAGGAAGAGTGCTGTGGCCTATTTTTGAGATGATTTATGGTACTTGGAGATGAGCTTTGTGTGTCTAGCCTTCGGCCGGCATTCATTGACTTCCCCAGTAAGTAGCATCATGTGTCGAATGTCTCTTGGCACTTAACACATTATATATATGCCAAGTGCATTGGCCATCACACCAGAAAGGCCCTATATTCTCAATAGCACTACCCTTCTTTCCTTATTAATATTACTTACATCTTCCAATAAGGAAATCAAATCAGAGAGTGTTTGTTTTGAATGTTTACTAGTATACAATCTAAAGATGTGTTATGATCCAGTAAATGGTGTCAATGACAAACTCTGAATTAAGGGCATTACAAAGTAATTAAAAGAGTATGGGCCCTAGCTAGATTGACTCAGTGGATAGAATGTCGGCCTGTGTACTGAAGGGTCCCAGGTTCAATTCCTGTCAAAGGCACATGCCTGGGTTACAGGCTCGATCCCCAGTAGGGGGCATGCAGGAGGCAGCTATTCAATGATTCCCTCTCATCGTTGGTGTTCCTCTCTCTCTCTCTCCTTCCTCCTTCCTCTCTGAAATCAATAATAGTATATTTTTAAAAAAAGAATAGTAGGAGCCAGGATCCATAAGTTCAAGGATTATCCCTGCCCTTACCAGCTGTCATCTGAGGATATAACTTGTCCTCTCTGAGCTCCATCTTTTAAAATACTCAAGTTGAGGCTAATGTACAAATATACAAATAAAATAATAACAAATTCAGAATAATGGCTTCATGGGGTTGTTTTGAGGTTTAACATAGATTATGTAGGTCAAAAGGTTTTATAAAGGGTGTTCTTGAAAACTAATGTTGATTAAAAATTGAGACACTATGGAAAAATTTTGGGTAGATTTTATTAATTCCCAATCTTGGCTGCATTCCCAATGCCCAAGCTGCATCCATAGCCATTAAATCAGAATCTCTGGGATTGGTATTTAGGCAGCAGCATGCTTGTCTTCTCTCCAGGTGATTCCAATATACAATAAAACTTGAGGATGACTCAGGGGAAAAGAAAATCATTTTCAGGGTTTGATTCCTATAGCTTGAGCAAGAAGCTTAACACATGATTTGGTTATTGTTTCCCTCAAGCACCTGGGATGCTGCAATTGCTGAAGAAATATTTGTTGATAACACCCATCCACATGACTATAAAAAGAGCTGAAAACTCTTCACATTAAGTCCACAGTACTGCAACTCATTTCTTGTTTAATGGGTTATTCCGGAGGAAGGGCAGTAGCGCCTGTCAAAAAAATTAAAAGGACTTAGCATAAAAGCCGGGTGGCATGTTGACCACAACCACATAGAAACGAGTAATGAAAGGAGGCAGGAGAGAAAGACGAAGCCCTGCTGGGGGCCTCGGCCGGCACATGTGCACTCAGCTTCCCTTGCCTGCCATGTGGTATGCAGCGGGCTGCCTTTGGTTGGTGTCTGGCTGCTGGTGGAGGATGCCAGGAAAGTGTGAAAAGCCTTATAAATGTGTCCTCTGAACATCGCTGACAAGCAACTGGACTGCAGCTCTCCCATCTGCCTCTGGCAGGGCTGCCGTCAGCCTTCCAAGTCCAGGAGAGCAGCTGTGTGAGAAATCACTCAGCGGCCCAAGAAAGTCCAAGTGTTTTCTCATGGTGAAGAGGCGGCTGCCCTCCAGGTGGTGGTGTCTGTGGAAGAGGAACAAGTCCTATTGAGCAGCCTCATGCAGGGAATTAAGTAAAGGCTTAGGAAGGGTCCTCAGGAAACCTAGAGGGTCTGATATTGTTGCACGAGGCTGGGAATTTTATACATGTGATCACAATTAATGCTTGCCGCGGCTCTGCAAAGTGGGTATTCTATTGCCCCTATTTTGCAGATTCAGAGCCTAAGGCTCTGGAAGTGTAAATCACTTTCTGCAGATCACATGTCTAGGAAAGGACAGAGTGGAGGACTTAACCAAGTGGGCTGTCTTCAAATGTGTGTCTTCTCTATGATAAGGACCTAAGTCGCCCAAAGCTGGTCAATCAACCGAATTCTTCACTCAGGCAAATCATGTGTATGCACTTCTCTCATCCTTGAGTCATTATGTATATTATTTTCATCTCAAAATGTAAATCAACCTGTATGACTGTGTCATTTCACATAAAGCCTTGCTACTTAGCATGTGTTCTGGGATCCAGAAGCATCACCTGAGAGCTTAGCTGTAATACAGATCATGCCCCACTGCGCTTTAACAAGATCTCAGAGGGATGCATAAAAGTTTACAAAGCACTGGCCTACGTGGAATTCTTTACCTGAAAAGGAACTTAGCTCAGTGATTCTCACATTTGTGTGCATTAGAATTATTTGGTGGGAAGGGGTTAAAAGGCAGATTCCTAGATCCTTTGCCCAAGCTTGTAATTTGGGAGCTACTGAGTGAGACCTGGGCAATATGTGTTCTAACAAGCAGCCCAGCTGATTTAGCTAGAAGTGATCTGAGAACAAGACTGCAATTAACATTAATTCAGGAAGTATAGCATCTGCCTTCGTTTATAGATGATGAGACAGAGGTCAAGGAGGGGAAGGCGATGATAAGGTCACATGGTGCTATGTGACACAACCAAGAGACCTCTGTCCCTGAAACACACTAACCACATCAGGGTCAGGACTCTAGGACTTGGAGACCTTTATTTGTTGTAGTATTTTAGAATTCTGGATCCAAATGCAATTGATTAACTCCTCACTGTGAAAGGAACATTCTGCAGACAGTGTTCGAGAAAACAGTGAGAATCACTGCATCCCACTGAGGTCTTTGGTCTCATAGATCTGGTTACATGGACATACCTACTGTGTCTGTTTGTGCTTATGTGTACATTATCTCGTCTAACCCCTGCAACATCCCTGGGAGATACCATTTTCTAGCCAGTAAACTGCAGAGTCAGGGATGGAACCCACCTTCTGGCTGCAGGGATCCCTCTGTTGTACCATTACCACTTTCTGGGGAAAGTTAGGAAATCTTACCTAGAGACTATATGCAGTTAGTTGACCATAATTTGTAAACCCAACAGATCCAGTTAAAATCATGCTTAGATCATAGTTTTAATTTTATCATCTAGACCAGGGGTGGGGAACCTTTTTCTCTTCCAAGGGCCATTTGGATATTTATAACATCATTCATTTAATATAATTCACTTAATATAAATTTATGTTGCTATAAAAAAGCTCCTAGATTTATTGAATTTTGAGTCCCACCTATGGTTGCCTTGACAGGGCCACACTAAAAGATTTCTCAGGTCTTGTATGGTTCTCAGGCCAGGCATTCCCCACCCCTGATCTAGACCATGGAAATCCAATATCATCCTTTAGGAAGAAAGGCAAGGGGTAAAGGGTGCTTTTATTTAGAAATTATACTGGACATATCAGAGTGACCACTTCATAAAGTATATACTAGTAAATGTCTCAATATGTTGTACACCTGGGACATATAATATTGTATGTCAACTGTAATTAAATTTAAAAAATTAAATATTTTTCTTTGGGATGTAATAAGACATGGTGGAAAAGCATAATTTTTAGTTAAAATCATGCCTCCTCCATTTATTAATTGTATGATATTGGGCAAGTTTTTCTAATATCTCTGAGCCTAGTTTTTCTCAGCAGTAAAAAGTCTCATTTTGATGCTTTTTAATCGCATAGTCTGACACAATGCTTGGGACCTACTGAGCATTCAATGCCTCTAAATTATTGTTGAAATAAAGAACATGTTTATTCTGATCAGTATTTTCCCCCAGATAATACGCACAAAAGCTTTCTTTATTTCACTCTACTTCATCTCCAAGATTCCCTGTCTCAATAAGTAGTCTCACCGTCTATCTATCCAAGTACCAGCAGATTTGGTGTCTGGTAAGGCCATCTTACTGGTCCATAGATCGCTGTCTTCTCATTGAATCCACACATGGCAGAGCAGAGAGAAGTGCATTTAAACCTAACTAATAAGAGTCCATGCTTATTTTACTTTCTCCCTATCCTTTTCCACTTAATTGAACCCGTGTTCAAGCTGGGTCATTTTTATTTTTGAAAGTGTTGTCAAATCTGAAGACTAATTCCCATACCTACTGTGCAGTCTAATTCTGTTTCTCATTAGCTCTCTGATGGGTTGTCAAAGTACTAGCTACAAAGCTGGCCTTACAAAGCTTGTCTTCTCTCGGTCAAGTATCTCCCATTCCTCCATGCCACTGTTGAGGTCCCTTTGTAAAGTGTAAATCATATTATGCTACACAAAAAATAACCCTCCTTTGTAAGTAGAGGGCATTCCTTACCCAGAGTGTCACTATTTCCTTGTGATTGGATTCAGCTTCCATGGGCTGGACTCGAGCACTGCATAGGTGATGCGTCTTCAGGGCGTCACCTCTGGAGGCACAGTGTTCACCTGTCCCTCACTAGTGATAATTTTGGTTACTGGTCAAAGTGGTGTCCCAATGAATATAACTAAACAAATAAAAGTTTCAATAATGAAACACAGTACAAAGAATACCCATATATACCTTCAACCCAGAGTCGTCTTACTGTTAACATTTTATTTCATTGACTTCATCATTTGTTTTATGTGCATATATAATTTTTTTTCTGAACTGTTTGAGGCTAGGTTGCATACATCATGAATTTTTACTCTTAAATACTTGAGGTATAGAAATATTCTCTTATGTAACCTCAATACTGTCAGCAATACCAGTTTTTTTGATGAGAGAGAAACATCGATCAGCTGCCTCCTGCACATCTCCTACTGGGAATGTGCCCGCAACCAAGGTACATGCCCTTGACCGGAATCGAACCCGGGACACTTCAGTCTGCAGGCTGACGGTCTATCCGCTGAGCCAAACCAGTCAGGGCAAAATTGATATATATTTAAAATTTATCTTTATTGTTGAAACTATTAAAGACATCCCCTGTTTACTCCGCATTGGCCCCCTGCAACCCTGCTCCTGCCCTCTGCCCAGGTCTTCCCCACATTATTATTTGTCCATGGGCTATGCATATAAATTCATTGGTTAATTTAGAAGCTAATTAGGATTAGATGAGGTCATGAAAGTAGAGCCTCATGAATGGAATCAGTGCCCTAAAAATCCTAAGAGAATTTACTTTTCTAGGCTCTGTTATGTGAAAATACGACAAGAAGACAGCCATCTATGAACCAAAAAGATGACCCTCCCCAGACACCAAGTCTGCTCTCTCCTTGAACTCAGACTTCTTAGCATCAGAACTGTGAGGGATAAATATTTCTTGTTTGAATACTCAACTTATGGTATTTTTTTGTAATAGTAGCCCCAAAGAACTAAGACACCTTCTTTAATCTGAAACATTTCCATGGCCTTTGTCTGTTGTTGTTTTTTTAAGGACAGTCTTCTTTTTTTGATTAGAAGAATGTTCGTCATATATTTTTTTATTTTTCTTTATGGTTACATTCAAGTTGTATATTCAACCAAAATCCTGCATAGATGATGGTGTGTCCTCCTCAAGGCATCATCACATGGAGCCACACAATGTCCATCTACCTCTATTGATTTTTATTACACTGTCAAGTTGGTGTTCCGTTCTTCACTATGTAGTTACTACTTTTTACCCTCATAATTAATAACCAATCAGATAGTTTAAGACCATCAAATATTCTTCTCTTTATTAAAACTTTCCCCTAGATTTAAGTTATTGATGAATCTCACTTGATGCAATTTTACTATGACGGTTGCAAAATAATTATTTTCCAACTCCTATCCTCCCTCCACATTTACAAGTTGGCTATCATCATTCTATTGTAAGCAAGAGCCTTCCATTTTCACTCATTCATTTATTCACTTATTTACCTATTTCTTATCAGTATGAACTCATAAATTTAATATTTTTAATGCTTTGTAATTCATAATTGCACTTACTTTGGTACTAAAATTATCCCAGATGTGGCTAGCTGAAACTCTTTTCATCTAGCACCTTGGTCCTTGTGAAATGACCCATAATTTATTTAAAGTACTTTCTTACTTCCAGGCTGATATTTTGCCTAGTCAGCCATTTCTTTAAAGAGCACTGGTTTCTTTTAGTGGATAATGGTTTTAGAGACAAAGATTTGGGTTTTAGGTAATATCATTGCTACTGGGTTGTTGTTTTTTTATCCTCACCCAAGGATATGTGTATAGATTTGAGAGAGAGAGAGAGAGAGAGAGAGAGAGAGAGAGAGAGAGAGAGAGATATTTATGTGAGAGAGAAATATTGATGTGAGAGAGAAACATTGATCAATTGCCTCCCAGACATGCCCTGATCTTGGACTGAACCCGCAACCTAGTTATGTACCCTGACTGGGAACTGAACCCCTACCTTTTGGTGTATGGGATGACACTCCAATCAACTGAGCCACCTGGCCAGGGCACTACTGGGTTTTCTTTAATTCTATGTCCTATCAGCTGATAGAGGTAAGAATAGTTGTGTGTGTGTGTGTACACAAAAATATACATTTACTGTACATACAAATGCAAACATACTAACATAGATATAGATATAGATATATACTTGCATGTTTGCACATGTACATTACATGGGTAGACATAACTTAGAAATAATCAGTTCACACTGATACCTCCAATAGAAATTTATGCACATGAGTTCTTTCTTGCTTTCTCTCATGCTTTATATGATTGTCTCTTCTTCCATAGTGAGAACCCTGACTTCCATCAACATTAAAATTTCAGAATTGCTTCGCCCATATTTTTTCATTGAAAAAAGGCAGAATTTAGAATTTGTTTGCAACTTTTCTTCCCTCAACCCTCATGCTCAATTTTGGCCAAAAAATATGGCTATATGGTCAAATATTTTGTTCATGAATTACATTTCTCCCTCCCTCCCTCCCTCCGTCCCTTCCTTCCTTCATTCCTTCCTTTCTTCTTTCCTTCTTTACTTCCTTCCTCTCTCCCTCTTTCCTTCCCTCCCTTCCTTCCTTTTCCCTTCAGTGTGGTTATCATATTTATTTGAAATATAATTAGTTTACTTTGTTTCTTTCTACTTTCAGGTTTAGGATTTTCTTTCCTTCCCTTTCTTATTGGTTTAATTTTAATGTTTGCATATGTATAACATTCACATGCTTCACATAGTCAACAATTTTTTTTCCTTTTTTCTCACACAAAAAGTAACATATTTATTTGTTCTTTACTTTTTTCACTGAATGTTATCTCCTGGAAATTCCTCCATATCAGTTCATAGATATCTCCTTATTCTATTTTACAGCTGTATAATACTCCATTATATGAATGGGCCTTTCAACTAAGCTCCTATGCTAAGATACCTAGGTGTTCTCTATATTTTACAACTATAACGAATGTTGCATTGAATAAACTTGTGCATATCTATTTTTGTATCATTGAAAGTATATGCTCAGAGAAAATTCTTAGAATTAGTAGTACTGGGTTGAAGGGTAAATGCACAATGTGTTTTTATTACATGTTTTGAAATTCTTCTCCATAGGAAAATGTACTGTCTTGCATTCCTCCAGCAATGTGTGAGAGAACCTGTGTCCCCACAGACTTGCCAACAGAGTGAGCTGTCAAGCTTTCAAATTTCTGCCAGTCTCATAAGTGAGAGTACCAATGTAATTTTAATTTGCATTTGACTTATTACAAGTGAAATTGACATATTATTACATGTTTAAGAGCCATTTTCATTTCTTCTTTTTGTGAATTATCTACATATTTTACCCATTTCCTATAGTATTTTGTGCTTTTTCCCCAATTGTTAATTTTTTTAGTATTATTAGTCTATCATTAGTGATCTATATCTTACAATATTTCCTTCCAGTTTATCATTGGTCTTTTTACTTGGCTTATGGTGTTGTGTGTCTTTTTTATACCTAAGAGGTTTTTATTTTTGTATAGTCAAATCTATCAATCTTTTCCTATATTGCATAGGGATTTTTAATCATAGTTAGAAAGCCTAAGTTTTATTATTTGATTTTAAAGGTATTGGAAATATTCTAAAAGCTAGCTATACAAAAGATGAAAATAAAATAAGAACTGTGGATGGGAGAAAAGACAAAATACTCTGGGGCTCTGAGTAGAGTTGTCAGATAAAACACAGGTTGCCTAGTGTTTTGGATAAATAATGAATAATTTTTTTAATACAAGTGTGTCCCAAATATTGCATGGGACATATTTATACTAAAAATTATTTGTGTGGTGTGTTTTTTTCTTTTAGCTAAGATGCAAATTTTACTGGCTGACATATTTTTATAGACCTGGCAACCCTAACTCTGAAGAAAGATAAATCCCCAATTTCAGCATATCCCGTTATCCATTCAGGTTCTTAGAAATAGATCAGTCCTCCTGACTTGGTTCCCTTGCATCCCAAGATTCTCTCAAGGTCATTGATTCACCTGTGCAGCCACTGTTCCCTTTCCTGGTCCATCACAAAAATAACAATTTTTGGAGGTAAGTAGGATGCAATGCATAGAGCATGGACTTTAGAATCAGACACTTAGCTTTTAATTCTGGCTACATAATCTCTGGAAGTTTATTTACTGTAGATGAGCCTCAAATAATATCTACCTCACAGAGCTTATCCTATCTAATAATAGACAAACATGGTAATTAACCATAACTTTGCCACCCTTCCCATTGGCTAATCAGGATGATATGCAAATTAACTGCCAACTAAGATGGCGGTTAACCACCAACAAAGATGGCGGCTAATTTGCATACTGTGCCGCCCAAAGCGAGATCCTGGCCTGCTGTGTCTTGGGCAGAGTGGGCAGGGCAGGTGGCAGCAGATCTGAGCTGGGCAGGATCCGGGCCTGCCATGTCTTGGGCCAGGCAGGCGGGGCAGGAGGCAGCAGGATCCAGTGCAGGATCCGGGCTTGCCATGTCTTGGGTGGGGCAGGCAGGGCGAGCGGCAGCATGTCCGAGCTGCTGTCCGCCCCAGCACGGGATCTGAACCTACGGTTTCTAGGGAAGGTTGGGCGGGGCGGGCAGGGCGAGCGGCAGCGTGATCTGTGAGAGGGCACAGGTTGGGCTGAGGGACCCCTCTTCCCTGCCAGTGCACAAATTTTTGTGCACGGGCCTTCTAGTTTTATATAATTGAATAACTTAAATGTTGTTGACATATTAAAAATGTTCTATAGTTGTTATCTATTGATGTTTATTAGGCTTATAACTTCCGCATAGTAAATGTAGCTCTTTTTGTCCACAAAAGGGATTTTAAAGTCATAGCACCCTAGTCTGTTAGTGTGCACACTCATTCCTCAGATGAGGAAACTACAATGCAACTCATCATCATTGTGCTAGGGACAGAGCTCTTTGATGATGCTTCCCAGGGCAAAGACCAGCCCAGCATAGAGAGATGGGAGGTTGGATGATGCTTCTGGGCAACTTGGGATGTAATATGGCATTGGGAAGGGGTGAGATGGACATGACACAGAGTAAGGGAATAGAGGGCAGGAATTGGCCAGGAAGTAAAGACAGATAGTGGGAGAAACTGAGGGGATTTAGCCAAGACAAAGAGTTAGTGAGTAAAGAAAATATACAAGGAACAGAGTAAGAGCATTAAAACAAAGAAGAATGTAAGAGAAGAAAGTAAAAACAAAAAATTTAAATCCCTAGAGGAATAGCAGAGTCAATGAGATAATATGAATAAATGGTTGGACAAATAATTGGGTGAATAGGAAATCAGTGAAGAGAATATGACTATAGTAAAAGGGTTTGCTCATATATCATATTTTGTAAGTAGCTTTCACCTATAACATCACATTTAATATCCATGGTAACTGTGAGGTGAGTGGGGTAGATGTTATTTTTCCCATTTTACAGAGTGAAAAATTTGAGGTTCATAGAGATAGTTATATTACTTGTCCAGAATTGACATAGTAAAAGTAGTTGCAAAGCCAAGATCAGATCCTACAGCTCCTATCCACTTTCCCCATAATTCCCCACTTGGTCCTTTAGAGCCCCAGGGACTGTGGGTAGGAGATTGAAGGGCAAAAGATCTAAATGAACCCAGAGATTTCCTGAGAAAGATTCACAGGCCCACTCTATGGCAGAGAGTACATTCTAAATTGTTCTAATCCTTGTAAAAAAATAAAAATAGAAGTTCTTCAAACTAAAAGCTAGGAGGCAGCTCCTCCAGATTGCTTCTCTTTGATCTAGCCAATCCTCCACTATTTGTGAAGTGAACCATAAATTTGGCTTCTTCACTTCTTCTCAAAACCTGCAGGCTACCCACTTATCACAGAAGCC